TCTTCCTCTTCCTCTTCCTCTTCCTCTTCCTCTTCCTCTTCCTCTTCCTCTTCCTCTTCCTCTTCCTCTTCCTCTTCCTCTTCCTCTTCCTCTTCCTCTTCCTCTTCCTCTTCCTCTTCCTCTTCCTCTTCCTCTTCCTCTTCCTCTTCCTCTTCTCTTCCTCTTCCTCTTCCTCTTCCTCTTCTCTTCCTCTCCTCTTCCTCTTCTCTTCCTCTCCCCTCTCCTCTTCCTCTTCTCTTCCTCTTCCTCTTCCTCTTCCTCTCCTCTTCCTCTTCCTCTTCCTCTTCCTCTTCCTCTTCCTCTTCCTCTTCCTCTTCCTCTCCTCTTCCTCTTCCTCTTCCTCTTCCTCTTCTTCTCTTCCTCTTCCTCTTCCTCTTCCTCTTCCTCTTCCTCTTCCTCTTCCTCTTCCTCTTCCTCTTCCTCTTCCTCTCCTCTTCCTCTTCCTCTTCCTCTTCCTCCTCTTCCTCTTCCTCTTCCCTCTTCCTCTTCCTCTTCCTCTTCCTCTTCCTCTTCCTCTTCCTCTTCCTCTTCCTCTTCCTCTTCTCTTCTCTTCCTCTTCTCTTCCTCTTCCTCTTCCTCTTCCTCTTCCTCTTCCTCTTCCTCTTCCTCTTCCTCTTCCTCTTCCTCTTCCTCTTCCTCTTCCTCTTCCTCTTCCTCTTCCTCTTCCTCTTCCTCTTCCTCTTCCTCTTCCTCTTCCCTTCTCTTCCTCTTCCTCTTCCTCTTCCTCTTCCTCTTCCTCTTCCTCTTCCTCTCCTCTTCCTCTTCCTCTTCCTCTTCCTCTTCCTCTTCCTCTTCCTCTTCCTCTTCCTCTTCTTCTTCCTCTTCCTCTTCCTCTTCCTCTTCCTCTTCTCTTCCTCTTCCTCTTCCTCTTCCTCTTCCTCTTCCTCTTCCTCTTCCTCTTCCTCTTCCTCTTCCTCTTCCTCTTCCTCTTCCTCTTCCTCTTCCTCTTCCTCTTCCTTTCCTCTTCCTCTTCCTCTTCCTCTTCCTCTTCCTCTTCCTCTTCCTCTTCCTCTTCCTCTTCCTCTTCCTCTTCCTCTTCCTCTTCCTCTTCCTCTTCCTCTTCCTCTTCCTCTTCCTCTTCCTCTTCCTCTTCCTCTTCCTCTTCCTCTTCCTCTTCCTCTTCCTCTTCCTCTTCCCTCTTCCTCTTCCTCTTCCTCTTCCTCTTCCTCTTCCTCTTCCTCTTCCTCTTCCTCTTCCTCTTCCTCTTCCTCTTCCTCTTCCTCTTCCTCTTCCTCTTCCTCTTCCTCTTCCTCTTCCTCTTCCTCTTCCTCTTCCTCTTCCTCTTCCTCTTCCTCTTCCTCCTCTTCCTCCTCTTCCTCCTCTTCCTCTTCCTCTTCCTCTTCTTCCTCTTCTTCCTCTTCTTCCTCTTCTTCCTCTCCTCTTCTTCCTCTCCTCTTCTTCCTCTCCTCTTCTTCCTCTCCTCTTCTTCCTCTTCTTCCTCTTCTTCCTCTTCTTCCTCTTCTTCCTCTTCTTCCTCTTCTTCCTCTTCTTCCTCTTCTTCCTCTTCTTCCTCTTCCTCTTCCTCTTCCTCTTCCTCTTCCTCTTCCTCTTCCTCTTCCTCTTCCTCTTCCTCTTCCTCTTCCTCTTCCTCTTCCTCTTCCTCTTCCTCTTCCTCTTCCTCTTCCTCTTCCTCTTCCTCTTCCTCTTCCTCTTCCTCTTCCTCTTCCTCTTCCTCTTCCTCTTCCTCTTCCTCTTCCTCTTCCTCTTCTCTCCCCTCTTCTCTCCCTCTTCTCTCCCTCTTCTCCTCCTCTTCTCCTCCTCTTCCTCCTCTTCCTCCTCTTCCTCCTCTTCCTCCTCTTCCTCCTCTTCCTCCTCTTCCTCCTCTTCCTCTTCCTCTTCTTCCTCTTCTTCCTCTTCTTCCTCTCCTCTTCTTCCTCTCCTCTTCTTCCTCTCCTCTTCTTCCTCTCCTCTTCTTCCTCTCCTCTTCTTCCTCTCCTCTTCTTCCTCTTCTTCCTCTTCTTCCTCTTCTTCCTCTTCTTCCTCCTCTTCCTCCCTCTTCTTCCTCCCTCTTCTTCCTCTTCTTCCTCCCTCTTCTTCCTCTTCTTCCTCCCTCTTCTTCCTCTTCTTCTTCTTCTTCTTCTTCTTCTTCTTCTTCTTCTTCTTCTTCTTGTTCTAAGCCTCTGTATGATTATGTTTTCACACCCTGGCCGTGTCCCCAAGTACGATAGAACCACCAAATAGTTTCCAACAAAACCTTTATGTTGTCCTTTTGGCTGTTAAATTCACCCTAAGTTGGGCCGGAACGTTCCTTTAGGTACACCGTACACATACGCACGAATAACTCACTACCTTACATGCTCATGAGCGCCAATAAACGTCTGGGCAGGGTGCTATTGTAGTACCAAAGCATTCCTCAGTGTGCCTTTCTGCATCGTAGGGGAGAAGTATGAAATCCGCAGGTTGGTTTTATTGAGGAGGTGTTAACTTGTGTTCTAGTAGAAAGTCATTGCTAAATGGGAATACTCATAGCAGGTAGGCAAATCTTGGTTCAGCCCGAAGTGTGTCTTGGAGCAAGCGGCAGATCAAGATAGGGAAGGCGCTGCATCACTCCCTCCCACTGCTGCACGTGCACCCTCGCTAGTGTGCACCCTCAGTACGATGCAAATGACCATCTCCCTCTCCCGCCCCTCCCTTTCTCCTTCCCCCCGGACTTTCTGTACCTCCTCTCCCCCTGCCCCTGCACCCCTTGCCTTGCACGGCAGTCTGCTGCAGAACAACGATCTGAGTGGGTCGCTGCCTTCCAACCTGGGCACAATCACCTCACTACAAACGCTGTGAGGCATGGGGCGGATGGATGGGGCATGGGCGTGGACTCATGACATGCATTCTGCACATACGGCATGTGCATGGGGTATGGGGATGGGGTTTGGGTTGTGGGTCGGGGGTCATGGGGTGGGACAGGTGCTTGGGGTATGGTGCATGCTAACATGGTGCATGCGACATGGTGGATGGGGCATGGTGCATGGGATGTGGTGCATAAGGGCAAGGTAGTAGCTGCCCTCGTTTTAAAGGTGTTTTATTCTCATGGCGTTCTGTAGTGCACACATAGGAGAAAGGAGGCATACTAGTGGAGCATAATTGCATGTGTCTTCTACCTTGTCGCATTGTGAACCACCCATGTGCCGCTCATCATCCAACCTTCCTTCAAGCCCACTAAAACCTTCTGCTCATCCAGAATTCCCATGCTGATGTCCCGGTTTCAAACTGTTAGAAGAAATGGACCGTCAATCTGCATACTGTGATTACGTGATCGACCTGTTTGCCCAAATTGGCCAAGGGATTTGAAATTTCGTGGAATGCATTCTGCGGACCCACGCGCCTCTCCTTGTTGACCAATCAGTTTGACTAGTTTGGTGCTCGCCCTTTAATTCCATGTGATCCTGCTCGCTGTGTGTTGAAATCCTTCCATCTCTAGGGTTGTTTCTTCTCATATATGTTTGCCTCTCCGGTGTCCTCCCACCCACGTCCTGCAATAGCTGGATCGGGATGCACATTGCTTACTCACATCTCTTGCTTACTCCAATTTCTTTTACTTTCTGATACATTCGCCCCCAGCGAATTCACGCACAATGCAATCAGTGGCCCCCTTCCAAAGCAGTGGACGGCACCTAATCTTAAATTCATGTTTGTTTTCAGTTCTCCTTTTCTCTTTTTCCCTTTTTGGGTATGCGTGTGCGCTTTCAAGTAAACCTCTACTGGGTGAAACTTATATAATCTCAGTCGAGCCGTGTCATGTCGCCAGCCTGACCAAAAACGTGTCTTTCAAAATTAGTCGTTTCTGTTTCCTTCAGGTATGCCCCTTTCAGATCATCAATTGTAGCCAAGTTGCTCCATACCACAGTCCCCTCCCGCCTCGCTACGACCTTCACCTAGGTTTAATGTTTCCGTTAGCAGGAAACACTTAGCAGGAAACTCAAATGCGTGCTGGTACTGGTGTGTGATGTGAACAGACATCATTGAGGAAAGGAACCAGACATGATTGTGATGTGTATCGGGCATGATTTTGGGCATGCGCAAGAAACGAACCAGAACCAGTTTGGTTTATACTAAGTCGACCCAGAATCAGTGCGAACCAAACCAGAACTGACTTGGCTTAGCTTTTTATGAGCCTACCCCATTTCCACTAGCCAAAGCAGAGGAGCTCTGCTCGGCTCGGCTTGGTGGCTCTAGTGCATTGTGCTCCCATCCATCTAGGCTCAACTCCATCTAGGCTCAACTCCATCTAGGCACAACATCAGCTGCTTTTACGTCGTACTACACCACGCCTTACGCCACGCATGTGTCGGCGGCACAGCACAGGCACAATCCGCCTCTACAATGCCTCGCCACATCCCCATGCCTCACTGAATCACCATGCCTTATCTATCTGCAACGCTGTTTGGGATGCTGTTGTTAGATTATACATCTCTTGTATCCTACACTGTTCCTATAAACTTTGGGTAGAGATAGGCACCCAAACTTAGTTTTCGTGCACAACTAGGGTTAACCCTAGTTGAAGTTGGGAGTCCAGCCTTGGCCCAACTTTTGGCTGCAAGGTTGGGTTGGGGAATATTGTCCCCCCAATAATGTTGGCCCAACCTAGGCCAACTCTCAACCAAACCTCCCCCCCCCCCCCCCCCCCTCCCCCTCCTTGTAGCTCCAACAATGTATACCCTTGTATACTCTAATCCAATGATCCATTTTCTTTAATATTTCCAGTTTATCACAGCTGTGACTCCCTGCTCGTGCTTGTGCCTGCACCGTCTATGCACGATAACTGCACCATCCATGCACCATCCCTGCACCATCCATGCACCATCCATGCACCATCCATGCACCATCCATGCACCATCCATGCACCATCCCTGCACCATCCCTGCACCATCCATGCACCATCCATGCACCATCCCTGCACCATCCCTGCACCATCCCTGCACCATCCATGCACTATCCATGCACCATCCGTGCACCATCCGTGCACCATCCGTGCACCATCCCTGCACCATCCATGCACCATCCATGCACCATCCATGCACCATCCCTGCACCATCCATGCACCATCCATGCACCATCCATGCACCATCCATGCACCATCCATGCACCATCCCTGCACCATCCATGCACCATCCATGCACCATCCATGCACCATCCCTGCACCATCCCTGCACCATCCCTGCACCATCCCTGCACCATCCCTGCACCATCCATGCACCATCTCTGCACCATCCCTGCACCATCCCTGCACCATCCATGCACCATCCCTGCACCATCCGTGCACCATCCGTGCACCATCCGTGCACCATCCGTGCACCATCCATGCACCATCCATGCACCATCCATGCACCATCCATGCACCATCCATGCACCATCCATGCACCATCCATGCACCATCCATGCACCATCCCTGCACCATCCATGCACCATCCCTGCACCATCCCTGCACCATCCCTGCACCATCCATGCACCATCTCTGCACCATCCCTGCACCATCCCTGCACCATCCATGCACCATCCCTGCACCATCCGTGCACCATCCGTGCACCATCCGTGCACCATCCGTGCACCATCCATGCACCATCCATGCACCATCCATGCACCATCCCTGCACCATCCATGCACCATCCATGCACCATCCATGCACCATCCACGCACCATCCATGCACCATCCGTGCACCATCCCTGCACCATCCCTGCACCATCCCTGCACCATCCATGCACCATCCATGCACCATCCATGCACCATCCATGCACCATCCATGCACCATCCATGCACCATCCATGCACCATCCTTGCACCATCCATGCACCATCCCTGCACCATCCATGCACCATCCATGCACCATCCATGCACCATCCCTGCACCATCGCTGCACCACCCCGGCAGTGCGGCGCACCTCACGCACCCCCCTGCACCGTCTTATGCACACATCGCCCTAAACCAAGTGATGCATCTCATCTGCATCCCTCTCTGCATATATTCGTCCCTCCCCCCATCCTTCCCTCCCCTCTCCTTCCAAGCTAATCCTTCACTTCCATCTCATCTCCCTGTGCTGCCTCCTTGCCCGCATTCCATTGCGGTTGACCTGCTGTTCAAGTGTCTCTGTCTCACTGTCCCCTTCATCTCTTCTCTTTTCCCAGCGGATTGGGTGACAACAATCTGTCTGGCACCATACCGGATGATATAACGGGCTTGGTCTACCTCACACTGCTGTAAGGCTCACACTGCCGTGAAGCTCTACTTCTTTGTCCCTAATCATTCGCCCCCTCTCCTCTTCTCCCACACCCCGCACTTTCCTCTCGCCATTCCCCCCAAGTGCGTTGAGTTTAAATCTAGTTGTCACACAGCTTATTCCTGCAAAGAGTCATCCTACTACAAAGGTATACTACATGGGAGGCGTGCGCGTAGACTCAATTGTAGTGTTGCATGTGCCCGTACATGTTCGTCTTGTTCGTAGAAAGAAAAGCAAGAGTTTCAGTGAAAAGAATCAACAATAAATTGCACGGCATGCATCACACGAACCTTTTGCACAACGCCGTCGTCACCTACCTACAAGGTCGGCTTGCCAAAGCAACAATGACAGATGAACTACGCACACACACATCACCAACCAAAATAGTTGCAGGTTTGTACGACAGACCGTTACGTGCACGTTGTGTACATGATGCAAATCGTGCAGATGCAAGGTTGTGATGTCCTCGAAGTGGACAACTCCTCATTCGCATCAAGCTAAACCCTGGACATCACACCGATGTTGGCGCGAATGAGGCCTGCCGGTGGCCCGGGATCAGCACACATTGCTCGACAATTGTCGTCGGATGGCTCCCCTGTCGACTGCTCCCCGAGCACTACGAGCACCTGGGGCGCGTTGCGTTGCGCGTTGGCTCTTCTCGTCGGCCGCCGTCGATGCCTTCATCGCTGGTGGCCGACTTTAGCAAGTCGCTGATGAGCGACTTTGGAGAAATGACCACGGTAGGCAGTAAATTCTGTCAGCTGCAAAATCTTCAGTTGCGGCTCAATCAACTCCACCCACTCCAAACCTTCAGCCAGCGCCGCATCGGCTTTCCCGTATGTCGCAAGGAAACGCCGGCTGGGAACCTCGCCAACACCGACATTACAATCTCGTCGGACGGCGCTCTCTCGGCCTTCGATAACGTCACCTGAAACCAAGCAGGCTGCACACATTGCGCATCGCCCAAGTGAGGGCAGGGCCTTTTTTGTCAACAATTCCATCCATGTGTGTCACCAGCAAGCAACACATACTTGTCTCCTCCATGGAGATACTTATTGCTGATGGCCTTCCTTGGTGTTCTTTGTCTCTCTTCCCTTACTGTCTTCCTCACTCACTTGTTTTCTCGTACTTTTCCTCACTTCTTTTTGTTTAATTCCTCACTCCTTTACTTGTACCTTTCCTTACTCCTTTCCTTTTACCTCCTCCCTCCTAGGCCTGTATTTTCCCCTCTCCTTTCTCGCCATCATTGCACCACCAACATTGCCGTAAATCGTTAGTCTGCGCACTTCAGCTGGTGGCCCTTTCCATTTCATAGAATGGGCCCGAGCATGTGTTGCACTGTTGCCCATTTGGTTAAAGCCGAGCCGTCTTGCCTTGATCCTGCTGAGTTGGTTCGTCTTTCACCCGAATCAAGCCGGCTGGCTCACAGGTTGAGCTGAGGTGGGGTGGGGAAGGAGAAAAGAGTGGGGGGGAGGGGGGAAGGAAGGGGGAAGAGGTTGTGGAAGGGGGAAGGGGAGAGGGGAGTGTGGGGAGGGGAGGGCTTGCTTCGAGCCGTCCGGCTCTCTGTGGCACTTAACCCCTCAGATTGGTCACAGATGGTCCGAGGGGCTTTGAGAAAGGGAATCGGTGAGTTCAGCGCGGTGAGCCAGCTTGTAGCGACTAACACGGATAGTTTCTTGAGGAGCCGTTTATGAGCTCGAGACGAGCCAAGCAGGCCGAGCGGAGACGCTGCTGGCTAGGCCATCAGGTCAAGGCCAATCACATCGTGCACATGTTTTTTTAAGCCAAACCACTCTTCCTTTCCTCCTTTTTTTTCCTCCGTCTTCACCTCCCTTCCTTTTTGTTATAACCAGGGACCTGAGCTCCAACCGCCTTACTGGCACCATACCGCAAGGTCTCTCTAATTGTGCCAACCTACAAACTCTGTGAGCCGCCTATATGGCCTCAACTCAGTTGTCCTGCCATGCTTCCAAGAGTATAATTGCTTACTTCACTGTTGCGCTTCGTAGCTCTCATTGGGTGCTCGCCCGCTGAATTGCATTCCCCATCGTTCCATTCCCACATCCTTCCATCCATTCTACATCCTCCCATCTCTACCCACAACAACCAATAGCTCAGGACCCATCACATCATCCTCGTGTCTTCACACACCATACCACTCGTGCCTTTCTCCTTTCCTTTCTTCCGTCTTCACCTCCCTTCCTTTTTGTTTTTGTTATATCCAGGGACCTGAGCTCCAACCGCCTGACTGGCACCATACCGCAAGATCTTTCTAATTGTGCCAGCCTAGAAGTTCTGTAAGTCCCAAATACGCTCCCAACCCACTTGACCTGTCATGTTTCCAACATTATTATTGCTTTCATTTCTTCTTTGCACTGCCAGGCTCCCGCCATGCGGATTGGAGCGTTTCTCCTTGCTCATTCTCTCTCCCCAGCTGCGTTGCATTCCCCACCCTTCCATTCCCTATCCTTCCATTCCCCATCCATCCGTTCCCCATCCTTCCATTCCCCATCCTCCCATTCCCCATCCCTGCCTTCCCCATACTTCCATCACCTTGTTGGGTGCAAATATTTAATTTTGCACGTCAACCAGCCGCCTGCGTCGCATTTTGCATTTTGTGTGTGTGCACAATTTTCATTTTCATTTTGTGAACAGTCTGTGCGCATTTGTTCTTGCATCTTGTGCGTTTCGTTTTTATTCGTAAGTGCATTTTGTGTTTGTGCATTTTCAGTTTCGTTTTCACTGTTCTCATGAAGCTCCCATGAACCGCTCAAATGAGACCCTCTTGACGCGCTCAAATGAGACTCACGCGAAGCTCTCAAATGAGGCCCTCATGACGCGCTCAAATGAGGCTCACGCGAAGCTCTCAAATGAGGCTCATATGAAGACCTTATGGAGCTCAAACGAAGCTCGCATGGGACTTAAATGTTTCATGCGAGGCTGATGCGAGCGACCATGAAAGTCCCATCAGTCTCGAATTCTCATGCGAGGCTTATTGGGGTTTCATGCGAGCGGGTGGTGTACCGAGGGGTGCTCGGTTGTTTGACTGGTCAAGGGGGGTGCCTAGATTTTTTCGCGCAGGTCAAAGACGCGAAAATCTGGACCCACGCGCGAGTCCAGGCACGCGCGTGAGGCCCCACAGGGCATGCGCGTGTGCCGCGCACTGTTGCGACAGTGCTGTACAGCACGATCGCAACAGGACAGGGCACGTTTCGGCCCTGTCCCGCGCACTGTACACGCACATGATCGCAATCATGCGCGTTGTACAGCACGACCGAGAAAAATCTCGGTCGTGGCGTGTGGCAGGTGGGGACGTGTGGGATTTCCGTTGAAAAACAGAATCCCCCCGTTGACTCGCGGAACAAGAAATTGCGCGCGAATGGTACGCCGCATAAAAGAATGATTTCGCCACAGGTACAATTCGGTTGTTTACGTCATTAAACGGTTAAAACCGTTTTACAGCTGTAAACTCGCATGAACTTCATGTGAGGCTTATGGGAGCCATATGGGAGCCACATGAAACCGCAAATGTTCATGTGAGGAGTCAGCACTGGAATTGCCTTGTGTTACAAGAGAAGGAAAAAAGGCAACATCCTAAGAAATTCTGCAACCGTTTCCTATTACAGCGTGGCAAAAATCAAGACCTTGTTCTGCAGCTACGTTTATGCTTACCTTTTGTGTGTGCGTAGGATTTTATATAAATGTGTGTCTGTAATTGTTCATCGATACAACAACTATTTTTCATTTCGCCTTTCAAGTTCAATTTCTACTACTACGTATTGACGAGAGTAGAATCGCTACCGTGGTGCTGCCGAAACTCTGCTCGACCAGCTTACTTGGATTACAGGCTGAGAAAGGCATAACTACTCGCTTGCAATTTTTCTATGCCCTTGGCTAGGAGGTGACAAGCTGTCACGCTCGAAGGGCTGCAAGTGATGTTAAGTGTTGCCGAGTACAAGTTTGTAATACCAGTTTAAACGCTTCCGCATAACGATATAGCTGTTAACACGTGGTATCAGAGCTGGTACTTAGTCGTTTTCAACGTATCCAACGATGGGGTCGCCTGGAGAAGAAGGGAATTCAGCTCCCGCGAGTAGTGGCAGCCAGGAATCTGGAGTCTCCGCGCCTAGGGTAGCACGGACGAACCAGGGCCCACTACTAAGGGAAGTGCTGAAAACGTTCTCCGTCGACAAGTTCAGTGGTGAAGGGTACGATGACTGGTCTTGGAAGATGCAGTTATACTTTCGGCAAATCGGACTCCTCAAAGTCATGACCGGTAGTGAGAAACGCCCTAGCAACCCGGAGCTTCAGGGTGATTGGGATGAACGTTCATCAGCTGGATACTATATCCTTTCTCAGAGCCTCGATCTTGCTCAACGCCAGCACATTATGCACCTACTCCCAGAGGATGAGTGCGGACCCAAGGCGTGGACCGTGCTTAAGGACCTTCATGCACCTACCTCCGTTGTAGCCACCCTCATGTTAGAGAGAGAGCTCTCCACCCTGCGCCTCAGTGAAGGAGAACCTGTCCAACCCGTCCTTGACAAGCTCAGAGATCTCTACGCAAAGCTAGCCATTGCCGGCATAACCTACCCCGAGCAAACAAAATGTGTAAAGATGCTGTCGCTGCTGCCAGAGTCGTGGATGGTCTTCACCAGCGGCCTCAGCCTTCCCCAAAACCAAAGCTTCTGGACTCTGGAGTGGATTCGTACCAAGATACTCGAGGAAGACTTCCGGAGGCGTCAGTTGAGGGGAGGAGAGGAAGGAAGCAGCAGCTATTCAATGCAAGGTGGTAAGAGGGGTAGAGGCAAAAAATGGCAAGGGACTGGGAGAGGAGCTTCAAAGGATGAGGAGACTTCTAACCAGCAAGGCGGTAGAGGAGCAGGACGTGGTGGAGGCCGAGGTGGCAGAGGTGGTGGAAGGGGACCTGGGAGAATGGAAGGCAAGTGTTGGTACTGTGAGAAAGTGGGTCACCCGTGGTTTAAATGCAGGACCAAACCCACCTGGTGGACCCCCTCCAACAGGACTCAAGATGGGAGCGGCGCCGGAGCGGTTGCCGATGATGAACCGGCTGAACAAGAGGAGAGGGAAGCCGGTCAGTTCTTCCACGTTGGTGAGCCGGATGAGGTCGCAGTAATCGCCCATGCTGGAGCCGAGCTGCACCCGCTCAACACGTGGATCTTGGACACAGGAGCAGCATGGACTATGACGCCAAGGGCTGACCTCCTGGACAATGTGGGGGCAGCACCGATTGCTAAAGTGAAGTCGACTTCCGGGCATGCGCTCAAGGTGACGGGGGCGGGGCGCGCTGCATTCAAGGGAGCTGACGGCAAACCGGTGGTGCTAAGTGATGTGCTGCTGGTACCTGATTTGAAGGCAAACCTCATCTCCCTGAGGAAGTTAGGCAAGTGCGGGGTGAGCACAAGTACCGAGGGTGCCAAAACGTTCAAGGGGCAGCTGGGAAAGCGGATGCTTTGGGACTTGCATGAGGATAAGGACATATGCAAGTCCATGTGGCAGCTGCCGGTGGTGCCCTGGGATAAGGGGAATGGCTTCCAGGGGGAGTGCAACGCTGTAGCTGCAGAGGAGCTGAAGGTTTCAGCAAGGGGAGGTGAAACGGACTGGATTACAGCTCATCGTCGCCTCGGGCACATTGCCATGCCCGCACTGCAGCAACTGCACAAGGAGGAAGGGGTCAAGGGACTGAAGCTGACAGGTGCAGCAGCAACCCACAAGTGTGAAACTTGCCTGTTGAGCAAGTTCACTCGGTTCCCATTCCATGCAACCGAGGGTGGCGGCAAGAAACTACTTGAGTTAGTGCACATGGACGTGGTGGGGCCGCTGCCAGTGGTGGGGGAGCGTGGTGAGAAGTTCTTCCTCACCATCGTGGACGATTGGAGCCGAGTGACATGGGCATACCCCATCAAGAAGAAGGACCAAGTGCCGTCCATCATCCGAGATGAGTGGCTGCCGTTGGTGGAGAAGCAATCTGATCACAAGGTGATGCGGATCAGGACTGATAGGGGTGGGGAGTTCTTAGGGGAGGAGCTGAATGCATGGCTGAAGAAGCAGGGAATCATTCGGGAGCTCACCACCTCCTACACACCGCAATCCAACGGCGTAGCAGAACGGGCAAACCGCACGGTCTTGGAGACAGCACGGGCTCTTCTCATTGAGTCAGGTTTGGGGAACTCTAAGTGGCCACATGCTGTGCGCCACGCCACGGTGGTGAAGAACAGGGTGTTCACCAACGTCGGTGGTGAGTCATGGGTCCCCATGGAAAGGTGGCTTGGGAGGAAGCCGCCCATTGACATGCTGCGTGTGTTTGGCTGCATGGCTGTGGCACATATCCCCAAAGCACATCGCAACAAGTTGGGTGCAACGGCTGTGTGGTGTGTGCATTTGGGTTTGGCAGCAGAAAGCAAGGGGTGGCTGCTATGGGAGCCGAGCAAGGGAGTCGTATTCGACAGTAGGGATGTCAAGTTCATGGAAGACATCACCTACGGGTGCTGGTCTAAGCAACCAAAGGAGCAGATTGTGCAGCAACTGCAGCAGGCAACCATGGGATTTGAGGTGGAGGAGCAGTGGGCTGAGGAGGAGATTGCAACAGCACACGAGGAAGGGGGTACAGCAGAGCTCCCCGTGGTTAAAAGTGTGGAGCCAACGGCTGACCCTGAAGTACCCCATCCCATAACACGTGTCATCCCCCCCACTCTCCCCCCAAGGAGAACCCAAACCAAACCCCAACCCACAGGACGGACCTTCTCACCCATGATGACGCGGCAGATGCGAGCTGCTGCCTTGAAGGCGAAGGCAAGGGGTGAAGGAGGAACAAGGGGAGAGCAGCAACATCATGATGCACTGCTGGTGCTGGAGAGCAGCAGTGATTCTGATGAGGAAGCAGAGGAGGAGGTGTATTGCTTCA